TAAGCAAGTTCAATGATGCTACAATCTTAACGATTTGCTAAGTCAACTCATTCTCCCGAAGGGCTACAAATAACTCTTCTACAAAAAAAAGTATTCTTTTATCCTAAAAGTGAGCAGATCATGGTGAAACGGTTTTAACCGACTTTACCTATTTTTCCGATTCCTTTCTTTTAATAAAACAAAGCAGATTTTATAGCACTTGGAAATTATTTTCAATCACAAAATCTCTTTCAAAATCCCTTTTCCTGTTTGTCCTTTGACCTCTTTGCTTACTTCATGTTTAGAGTCTTTGGCTTATAGACTAAATGTTAGAGTACGTAACATTCTATCTGATCTACTCCGGTTTTTTGTTAATCAAGTAGTAAGGTTGTTGAAAGTAGCGAAGTCAGAAAAACTCCATATTCACGATTGTATCCTTATTCTTGAAAGAATTTAAAATTTACTTAATAAATTAATTCAAAAGCTCATAATAACATAAAATATGTTATCATAAATAAATATTATTTAAATAATATAGCTATATAAAAAAAACAAAAACATACAAAAAATTATGAAAATAGCAGTTTATGGGAAAGGTGGCATAGGAAAATCTACAACTAGTTGTAATATTTCTATTGCATTAGCAAGACGTGGGAAAAAAGTTTTACAAATCGGTTGTGATCCAAAACATGACAGTACATTCACACTTACAGGATTTTTAATTCCTACAATTATAGATACTTTACAATCAAAAGATTATCATTACGAAGATGTTTGGCCTGAAGATGTAATATATAAAGGTTATGGCGGTGTTGATTGTGTAGAAGCTGGAGGACCTCCTGCTGGAGCTGGATGCTGGGGCTATGTTGTCGGAGAAACTGTTAAATTATTAAAAGAATTAAATGCTTTTTATGAATATGATATTATTTTATTTGATGTTCTAGGGGATGTAGTATGCGGTGGCTTTGCTGCTCCATTAAATTATGCAGATTATTGTATTATTATTACAGATAATGGATTTGATGCGTTATTTGCTGCTAATAGAATAGCAGCTTCAGTAAGAGAAAAAGCTCGTACACATCCTCTTAGATTAGCAGGCTTAGTTGGAAATCGTACATCAAAACGAGATTTAATTGATAAATATGTTGAAGCTTGTCCAATGCCAGTTCTAGAAGTATTACCTCTTATTGAAGATATTCGAGTTTCTAGAGTTAAAGGTAAAACTTTATTTGAAATGGTAGAATTACAACCCAGTCTTAAATATGTTTGTGATTTTTATTTAAATATAGCAGATCAAATTTTATCGAAACCAGAAGGAATTATTCCAAAAGAAGTTCCAGATCGAGAATTATTTAGTTTACTTTCAGATTTTTATTTAAATCCTGTAAACACTGTAAATGAAAAAAATAAACCAAATTTAATTGATTTTATGATAATTTAGAAAAAAATTTTTGTTTTTTAGTTAAGGAAATATATAAATATGTCAATAAAAATATCTGAAACTCTCACTTTTGAATGCGAAACAGGTAATTATCATACATTTTGTCCTATTAGTTGCGTAGCATGGTTATATCAAAAAATTGAAGATAGTTTTTTTTTAGTAGTTGGTACAAAAACATGTGGTTATTTTTTACAAAATGCTCTTGGAGTTATGATTTTTGCTGAACCTCGTTATGCTATGGCAGAATTAGAAGAAGGTGATATTTCAGCTCAATTAAATGATTATGAAGAATTAAAACGATTATGTGTTCAAATAAAAAAAGATAGAAACCCTAGTGTAATTATTTGGATTGGTACTTGTACAACAGAAATAATTAAAATGGATTTAGAAGGAATGGCACCAAAATTGGAAAACGAAATCGAAATTCCAATTGTTGTTGCAAGAGCTAATGGTCTAGATTATGCTTTTACTCAAGGAGAAGATACTGTTTTAGCTGCTATGGCACATCGTTGTCCTGAACAAAAAACTGAAATTGAAAAAAAAATAGATGATAAATCTATACAAGAATTATTTTCTTTTCTTCCTCTTAAAACAAAAGAAAAATCCAATAAATCTTTTACTTTAAAAAATAAATTTTCTTTAGTTCTTTTTGGTTCTTTACCTTCAACAGTAGCTTCTCAGCTTAGTTTAGAATTAAAACGTCAATCTATTCATGTTTCAGGTTGGCTACCTGCTCAAAGATATACAGATCTTCCGATATTGGGAGATAAAGTTTACGTTTGTGGTGTAAATCCTTTTTTAAGTCGAACAGCAACTACTTTAATGAGGCGTCGAAAATGTAAATTAATTGGAGCTCCTTTTCCAATTGGTCCTGATGGAACTCGTGCATGGATTGAAAAAATTTGTTCAGTTTTTAATATTGAAACACAAGGTTTAGAAGAAAGAGAACAACAAGTGTGGGAAAGTTTAAAAAATTATCTTAATTTAGTACGTGGAAAATCTGTTTTTTTTATGGGAGATAATCTTTTAGAAATTTCTTTAGCAAGATTTTTAATCCGATGTGGTATGATTGTTTATGAAATTGGAATTCCATATATGGATAAAAGATATCAAGCTGCAGAATTAACACTTTTGCAAGAAACTTGTAAAAAAATGTGTATACCAATGCCTCGAATTGTTGAAAAACCTGATAATTATAATCAAATACAGCGTATGCGTGAATTACAACCGGATTTAGCTATTACAGGAATGGCTCATGCAAATCCACTTGAAGCAAGAGGTATTAATACAAAATGGTCTGTTGAATTTACTTTCGCTCAAATTCATGGATTTACAAATGCCAAAGATGTTCTTGAACTTGTTACACGTCCTTTACGTCGTAATAATAATTTAGAAAATTTAGGTTGGACTAATTTAATAAAAATACAAAAAAGATAAAAAAAAAAGACTTATTCATTAATATAATAAATTTAATCTACTAATGAATAAGTCTTTTTTTACAAATATTCGGTTTTTTCTAATAATTTTATTCTATTTTAATCCTATTTTATTGAGGAAGGTTTTTATTATGATAACAAGCATTCCCTTATTGCTTTCTATGGGGTTCCAATATTATCATGGATAAATTTTTCAAGTACATTTTTTTTGTTTGGAATATATTATGGATTTCTGACTACTTTACCTATTGGTCCCTCTCAACTGTTATCTATAAGAGCTTTTCTATTAGAAGGAAATTTTAGTGGTATAGCAGCTGTTAGTGGACTAATTACAGGACAATTGTTGATATTTTTATCAATTTTTTATTCACCATTGTATGTTCTATTAATAAAACCTCACTTATTAACTTTGTTGGTTTTACCATATATTTTATTCTATTGGTATAAAATTAAAGATTTAATAGATTATCAATCTTTAAAACCTATAACATCTATTAAAGATACTCGAATTTCTAAAATATTTTTTGATAGTTTTATATTTCAATTATTTAATCCTGTTGTATTACCAAGTCCTGTATTAGCAAGATTACTAAATATTTTTCTTTTTCGTTATAGTAATAATTTTATTTTTTTACTAAGTAGTTTTTTAGGTTGGTGTTTTGGTCAATTTTTATTTGTAAGTTTAGGCAAATTACTTCTATTTCGTATTGAATCGGATTCACCTATTCTTTATCTTTTAGTTAAACGTATTATTTATCGAACTTTTAGTATTATTATATTAAGTTTTTCATTATTACATTTAAGTAGAGCTCCAGTACCTTTTATTACAAAAAAACTTAATGATAATTTGCAATTTAATTTATCAAAAGCAGAGGATTCTTTTGTATTAACAAAATCTTGGCCGACTCTTTTTTTTGATTATCGCAAATGGAATAGACCATTACGATATATAGAAAATAGTAGATTTAGTAGTCAAAGTCCTATAAAAAAAAAAGTATCTCAATATTTTTTTAATATTTCTTTAAGTGATGGAAAACCAAGACTATCTTTTACATATTTACCAAGTTTGTATTATTTTGAAAAAAATTTGCAAAAATCCTCTATTAATTTCAATCTTTTTTCATCTAATGAAATTTATGAAAAATGGATTAAAAATAAAAAAAATAAAAAATTAAAGATATATAAAGAATTTAAAAATCGATTTAAATTTTTAGATAATGGATTTTTTTTAGCAGAAATTATTGAAAAAAAAAACATATTGTCAACTTTTGAAGGAAATATTTTTACAAAAATTTGTGATCCTTTGTTAATTAAACAATATGATAAAAAAATGATAGTATCAAAATCACCATGGCTTTTAACAGAAAAATCTTATAAATTAACAAAAACGCAAAAAACACTTACTTTTTCTAAAAAAGATAATAAACTGAAAAAGTGGATTTCTAATCAATGTCAAGAATTTGAAGATAAAAATTTCATTTTACCTTGGGAACCTTTAACTCAAGATGCTAGGCGCATTTTAAGTTTACTTATTAACAAATCAAAAAAAACAAAAATTGATACAAATTTGAAACAAATGATCCTTTTTTTTGATGAAAATGCAACCCAATTATTGAATAAACAAAATCTTTCTTCAATTGAAAATACACGTAAAAAAATAAATAGAAAATCAAATCTAAATTGGGAACTTATTTTAAATTTATCTCCTCGCCAAAAAATTTTATTTTTGAATTATTTACAAAAAGATAAATGGAACACGCTTAAAATTTCTTGGAAAAATTTTTTTTTAGGTGATTTTACTCAAATAAAAAATATTCTTTTTTTATTAACAAAGATAATTAAACCTGATCAAAACTATCAATTTCAAGAAATAAATAAAGAAATACCAAGATGGACTTCAAAATTAAAAAATGATAAATTTGACGTTATAGCTATCGGAGTTACTGATATTCGTCAAAGAAAAGTTAAAAATTTAGGATATTTAATAAAAGGAAAAGATAAAAGAAGAAAAATAATAAGACGTTTTTCACAACAATCTGATTTTCGTCGAAAATTAGTAAAAGGATCTATGCGTGCTCGACGACGTAAAACTTTAATATGGAAAATTTTTCAAGTTAAAATTAATTCTCCATTTTTTTTACGAATAATGGATAAACCGAATTTAAACGTTAACAATGTTTTGAAAATAAAACCAACATTTCAAAATATTTTAGAAAAAAAAAAAAAAGAATCGCTAAATCAAAAAGCTTTGTTTATAAAAAGAACAAAAGCAGATCGTTTTGCTATAGCAAACAGATGGGATTTTCCATTAGCTCAGTGGGGAAGAAGTTGGTTACTACTTATTCAATCACATCTAAGAAAATATATATTATTACCTATATTAATAATATTTAAAAATGTCATTCGTTTGTTTTTATTTCAAATTCCGGAATGGAATCAAGATTGGTATGAATGGAATAAAGAAATTCATATAAGATGTACATATGATGGGACTG